TTTTTTTTTTTTTGTTTACTTCGTGATTTCATTGCGTAACTTCGTGTTGGTGTTTTTTATGTGGTGTTATATTACAATGATGGTTTTTTGTTCTTAATTTTGATAGTTTATTATGCGGCCTCGGGTAATAAATTGTTTATTTTCAGGAATATGTGTTCTCAAAAAGATTCGGAAGATGATGATTTTACAGAGGAATCGCCGAACCAACTGCAGACTATGTTGAAAATAGTGAAGTATACGGAAGATAAACGGGAAATAAACACTCCAGAACACTCCAAAAATACTGAAGTATACGGAAGATAAACGAGAAATAAACACTCCAGAACACTTGGAGTTTTGGTCGATGGATACATGAATACTGATATAGCGGTCGGTGAAACTTTCAAAGATAAAAGTATCCATATGTCTTAATGCTTCAATTAAAGGGTGGAATCATTGTAGGCCAACTATTTTTGTCGATGGTACTATCTTTAGTTTCGCGTATGGAGGTACGCCAAGGCCAGTGTTTTAGATGGGGTGTGCTTTGGCGGTGGCGAGATGGGCTAGCTCTGCTTACAGCCACGTAATTGTGACGGTGGGGATTTTAGTTCAGATTATCCGAGTTTTGGCAATGATTTGATGTTTGGTATGAGAAAAGCAAATCTTTGGCAAATAAAATCAATATATTCATCAACGGCTTGTGTGTGACAATATTTTGTTTATCTACCGTTTATGTTAAGTATAACTGTACATATACTTCCTCATAACCACGAAAAAATATGTTTAGATATACTGTATATATACATTAGATAAACATAGTCTAACATTTCTCTACTATTACCTGTATAGTTATACATAAGATAAACAAGATATAAACAACACTAAAACGGTATAAAACACATAATACACAATTCTGGACGAACGACTCGACATCTAAAGTGCGGACAGGCTGTGAACGAATTTCTCGGTGATGAACTGTCAGGTTACGACTTCGAATTGAAGTTTTTTGGTACAATGTTTCGCTCGCAGGGTTGAAATTGGGATGTGCGACGAGATCGGGAGCGAGTTATCCTTGCTTCGTCTTCACTTTTGGAGGGTTTGCTCTCGATTTGTTTTCCTTTGCCATTGTTCTTCACAACTTCACCGGCAAAATATGGTGCACTGCGGTTTTGAGACGGCTCGTTGGAGAAAGGTCCAGAGTTCGCGATAGTTCGGTTCAGGCGATGAGGGTTTTTTTTTTTAATTGAGACGTGATGTTTTTTTGGAGAGAGAGATGGAGATGGAGATGGAGATTTGGAGATTTTGAGAGAGATATGAAAATTTGAGTTTTTTCTGAAGTTTTTCTTGAGATTTGGAGAGAGAGATGGAGATTTTCAGTTCTTTTTTTTAGGTGGTTGAGTGTAAATATGGAGAGTAAATCCCATTTCCCGAAAATCATGCAAGTGTAAATCCCACTAAATCTGATTTAATTTTTAAAAGACGTACTTATGTTGAAAATTTTATCATATCGTAAATTTGATATTATTTATTCTTTGCATTGTAAATTGTGTAAATTTCTCATCTGAGAATGATGTAGTTTGAATGTGGACATTAGACCATCTCCAACCGAAATACTCATTCCCAAACCCATTTTGCAGTAACTGTCCAATCAAACAGTAATTCTGCTCCAACCGAAAAACTCATTCTCAAACCCAAAAGAATATTCTCAGAATATTCTTTTTTTATCAACTTTTACAACTTTTCAATACTACCCAAATATTTTACAATTTTACAAATTAACCACATTATTATTTTAAATTCGATTAACAATTTATGTAATAGAATTAATTATAATGTTCGAATATTCATAAAAAAATTGGATAAATAAATATTTTTTGAAAGTTATAGAGACACAAATAAAGTACCATCCGTACATTAAAATAAATTTTGTATTCTTTTAAATTCTATATGATTATAATTATCCTACAAAACAATATTTAACTATTACATTACATATAAATAAAATATAGAGCTAAACATATAGAAATATATATTACACCAATACCACTAAATATATAAAAAGTAAAAAATATATATAATATAATATATATATTATACAAACCTGTTGTAGTCATTAGAAATAATTAGCACTCAAAAATTAATTATTGACATTATATTAAATTTTATATCTATAATAGATTAAAAATTAAATATTGGCATAAATATTGTAAAGAAGGAAAGAAATAAATAGTTCCAATCTCACTTATCATTGTCATGGGGTCATAGTGCAATTTGTCAAAAAAATTGCGTATGTGAACAGAGAGAACGCAAATTTGCGTTTGTAGAAGCCAGAAAATGGAGAAAACGCAATTTGCGTTTGAGTTTGCGTATCGGTTGAAACAAAAATACTGCATTTTTTGAGTTTTGGGTACCGGTTGGAGAAGCTCTTAGACTGTTAAAATGGGCCCAAGAAAAAGGCCGCATGATATCTAAAGTCTGCTTATTCTCATCTCCTTTTCTTGGGCGCCCATATAACAGCCCATATAAGAACCCTTTAACTTTATTGTCACCAGGCTAGGTTTTCCAGCTCCACTAAGTGAAAAATCAAAGCAGCCGCTAACCGAAGAACACAGCACTCTTCACACCCATCGAAGCTCCAATAATGGTATCGATCTCACTTGCAAAGTTGAATTTTTCTAAGTCTCCGTCATTTTATCACTGCCGCGATCGAATATATCAATGTTTTGTTCTGAACAAATGTTTTTTGTGTGTGTGTGTGTGTGTGTGTGTGTGTGTGCAGTCGCTGGTAGCAAATGAAGATTTCCAGCACATTCTGCGTGTGCAGAACACTAACGTGGACGGGAAGCAGAAGATCATGTTCGCGCTGACCTCTATCAAGGGTATCGGCCGCAGGTTTGCCAATATCGTCTGCAAGAAGGCTGATATTGACATGAACAAGAGGTAGGCTGGTGCTTTTGGAGCTTGCTTGCTGGATTATGCTGTTACCTTATGTTACTTTTCATTTTGTGCCCTGTGTTAGCTTTGGCAAATGGCATGTTGAATATCGTTGGTTATTTACTTTTGACATTCCTCATTAGCTGAGTTAGTGTATGAATTAACGTGCTCCAATTAGAGCTGTAAACGAGCCGAGCCGAGCTCGAGCTTCGGGTGCTTAAGCTCGAGCTCGAGCCTTAACGAGCCGATCTGGAGCTTTAACGAGCTGAACTATAAAAAATTGTATAAAAATTCTATTTTCGAGCCTCAACGAGCCTTATTGAGCCAAGCCGAGCTCGGCTCGTTGGCCAAACGAGCTTTAAATGAACTCGAGCTCCGCTCGTTAAGGCCCGAGAACGCGAGCCGAACTCAAGTCTTAACGAGCCGAGCTCGAGCCGAGCCGAGCCGAGCCAGGCTCGTTTAATTTAACAACACTAGCTCCAACGATTTTATTTTATTTATTTTTTTTAAAAAATGTGCCGTGGGATTTTTTTGGTGCTCTGGAGTCTGGATGATGAAGCTGTAGGAAATTAATCTATTTAGTTAATAATTTTGTCTCCCAATTATTTTCTTATGAAACTTTGGGATTTATGTTTCAATAAATATTATTTTTACAGCATTGGAAGATTGTGAACTGTTTCAGTTGCTTGAGTTTTCCATTTACCTAAGTATCTTGAGCTCGAATTTGTTCCTGTATTGTTGCTTTATCTTGATTAAAGTGTGTGTTTCCTTCTTGCTAGTAGAATCGAGTTATATATCTTTTCAATTAAGATATTTTGTTTATGGTCTATTATCTCCCTTATGGTTGCCCTTAACAGTACTCTAGTACATATGAACAAGTAATTGATTTGTCTGTGCCTATATCCTAGTTTTAACATTTGAATGCTGCCACTTAGAGTCAATAATTTCAATACATTATTCTTTTTTTCAACTATGGTGATATCTTGTAGCTTGTTTGGAAACACTTCTCAAATGGACTTTTGAATGTAAAAGTCCATTTCGATAATATTTCTGTTTGGTGCTAAATTGAGAATGGATTTATGGATATATTGTTTTTGTTTCTCCAAAAAGGATGAGGACTTTTGGAGAAGTCCATTTTGCATAAGTCCATTTAAGAATTGGACTTTCCGAAAGGTGCTCCCAAAACAAGCACTTTATATCTTCTCTCTTGCTCGGTGATACTGATCCAAAATTATTGTACCCTGCAGAGCTGGTGAACTTTCTAATGCTGAAATTGATAGCCTTATGGTGATTGTTGCAAATCCTCGTCAATTCAAGATCCCAGATTGGTTTCTTAATAGAAAGAAAGATTACAAGGATGGGAAATTTTCACAGGTGACATCTAATGCCTTGGATATGAAGCTTAGGGATGATCTTGAGCGCCTTAAGAAAATCAGGTTCGATTGCGTATCATGTCAAAGCATAATCGACCGATTTATAATATTGTGAAAATGACCGTTTTTTCGGTTTTGTGTTATGATGACCTCAGGAACCACCGTGGGCTCCGCCACTATTGGGGTCTTCGTGTTCGTGGACAGCACACAAAAACCACCGGACGCAGGGGAAAGACTGTTGGTGTCTCAAAGAAACGCTGAACTGCAGTTTTTGTTATTGGTTCTCTATATATGCACTAAGAGAGAGGATGATTTTTGTTTTGATTTAGCATACACTTCACTTTGAAGTTTTTGGATAATCCTAAGCTATTCAACTTATGGACTTGTCACTTGTGAGTTGTTTCTCTATTGCATTCAGATGTTTGGTTTTGGATTAACTTCTTTTTCTTTTTTTTTTTTTGTTGGTGATTGGTGTTTAAACTTTAAACATTTACTGACCTTAACCAAATTGAAGTCATGAAAAACAGAACTGAACAGACGCTCAGAATCAAGAGCAACTAGTGTTGTTCTACTTCTACATTGCAACTTTACTTTAGAGTAGCGCAAAAAACTTAGACCATCTCCAGTCCTTAACTCTACTCTAGCGTGAATTTTACTCTTTTCTAGAGTACATTTAAACAGTTATCTCCAGCGTTTATCTCTACATTTTACTCTACATCGAATATAATTTATTTATTTATTTTTTATTTCAAATAAATTGGTATATATATATAAATATTGAATCTCTTATAAATATTTATAAATAATAATGTATTTTATTTATATTTTCAAATGAATTGGTATATAAATGGATACATGTTTGTGTTAAATATTTATTCATTTGGTACCATATTAATATTAAAAAATACAAAATAAAATTATAACACATCAATAAAAAAAACAACAAAATTATTTAGCAAAAAAAGTACATTGTACAAAGTTATTTAGCATAAAAAATATATTTACTAATACACATTATACAAAATTTACCAATAATATTACAAAAAAAAAATAAAAAAATGTAGCGTTGTGGTACAGTGTTGCGCAACACTGTTCACAACTTCAATCTAGCGCAGAATTCTAGCCCAACGCTGGACTCATTTTCTGCGTTAAAATAGAGAACTTTGGAAAGATAGAGTAGGGCTGGAGTTGCTCTTACTCTACAGTTTTGCAATATTCCAAACATGTGAATAGTAGTGTGTATAGTATACTCTACATTTTTGCAAATTTTTTCTCTTAAAAATTTAAATTTTTAATTGATTTATATTTTTTAATATTATTTTGACAAAACATACAATAGTAAAATTATTTATTTTGTTAAATAATTTTAAATATTTATAGTTGTATCTATATTTTACTTTGTACTAATATATTACATGTAGAATAAAATATAGCGCGAACTACAAAAGATTGAATGTTAATACTTAAATTATGACATTCTCTTGTACCAAAAAAAAAATTATGGCATTCTCTACTCTAAGAGTAAACACTCTATTAAAGGATTGGTGGTCTCAAGATTGCACTGCAAAAGATTCTAAGGTAAGTTTAAATTTGACATTTTCTTCTTAAGTCTGTAATGAGCCGAGCCGAGCCGAGTCGAACATTGGCCTTATCAAGCTGAATTGATTTTTTTTTTAACTGCTTGAGCTCGACTCAGAAAAAGGTACAATTGCTTGAGCTCGAATTGAAATCAAAATGCTCAAGCTTGGCTAAAAGATTTTTAAGTGAAAAAATAAGATTATCATTAAGTATCTATGTTATAGTATTGTAATATATATAAGGGGTATTTTAGTAATTCAACATATATCTCGAGCTGCTCGAGCTCGCGATTCTTTTACAGCCCTACTCTAGAATAAAGGCTCTAATAAAGGATTGAAAATGGTCTCAAAATTGCACTGCAAAAGGTTCTAAGGTAATTGCAACTTTTATTTGTTTTTATGGTGCAAAGACCTGCTTACAATATTCTTTACCTCCTTTTCCATTCTAGTTGTTGTCCCTTTCGGCACGGTCACCACCAGGCATCCATCCTCATACTCGGCTGATACGTGCTCAAGAAGCACCATATCCGACAGCCTGAATCGCCACAAATCGAGCTTGTCTTCAGTCCTGTCGATTCGAAAATGCCGGCCCCTTTTACAACAATCTTAGTAACCCCAGGACAGATCTCGACCGTGTCAGCAATGATGCTACCACCTATGTGGTTGGCGGCGGCGGAGAATCTAAAGGAATCTGGTGTTTCGGAGATTGAAATGTCAGTGTCCCAGTGGAAGGGAAGCTCTAGAACCTTCTGGAATATGTGGGGCAGTCGCCGGAGATTCTTTTGCCGGCAGCCATTCGATTGGGCTAGAATAGATGAATCGACTTCGTATGACAAGGCCACGTTGAGTTTATTGGGCTCAGGGTGGATCTTCATATCTGAGAGCATCTCCAGTGTAGGCTGTCAAAGGAAAAAAAATCTATGCCATGTCACAATGTCTTCATATTTTCATTTACAATGCACACTGTCATGTGGCAGTTTTTTTTGATGTGGCATAACAGTAGTCAAGCCTACTGTTTGCTTTCAAACAGTGTATTGGACAGTCTGAGTCAGGAATAAACGTGAAAAAATAGCGCACTGGAAGTTATCAAGAATTTTAGTCTCTTTCCAAATAATTCCATATTGACAGTTCCATTCATTTTATGCCATGTGGCCACTATTTTTAAGGGTGGATGTTTCCACATTGAAGATGCTCTAAAATTGGGGGACGTTTTGTTGTTGCAGAAAGTGAAAGTGAATTCATAGTGCACATGCACTAATAGAGCTTGCTATATATAATGCAATAAAATCAAGTTAAAAACCAAAATAATTGATGAAAGTGGCACATTAATTTTTGAGTTATCTCATACAAATCCATGTGAGAATGATGTTTTCGTCATTTATACAAAATCTATCGAGAGGTAAGTCACAAAGTTTGAATTGTTCGTTGGCCATGATAATTTGAGATGGTGCATGCGTTTTTTTTATGTGTACGTGTACCATAAGATGGGGAAATGCTGTGGTCCCGTTATGGAATCATTCTGTCGGAGTTTCTTACCGTTAGATCATCATGTAACCGTCGGGAATAATTAATCTAACGGTTACAACCACTGGCGGAATGATTCCGTAACAGGACCGTAGCATCTCCTCAAACTAAAATGTAACAAGAAGTCACATTTCATAATTTCGTAATTATACAACTAATACCACATGTAAATCTTCTGCCACATCAATTGCCGATATATCTTGTCATTTTGTAATTGGGATAACGCGATTCTTATTTTACCAATGGTTTTAGTTGTATTCATGTGAGTAACTAATGGAGTTCATTTGATATATTTTTTGCCCTTGGAGCCTATTTAAGTACTTTCAAAGTTTATAATAAATTTTGTTTAAAATGTGATGGCAAAGATACATGGATAAAGTTTAATTTTTTATCAGGTGCCAAAGTAATTTGTTTTAAGATGAGACAATCTTACAAAAGAACCAGGGGAACAAAACAGAAAGAAAAACAAGTAGCAAACACACACACACACACACACAAAATGAATGTAACCTTGTACAAATGTAACAAATCAAAGGCTCAAAACTTGACAACATCAACTGTCCAAACAGTTATAAATGAATAAAGCTAGAGCAGTGAGTTGAATCAAAGATGCAGCATAGCTTCGATTTGAAGTACTCGCATTCGTTGTTGGCACTGTCCGCGATCCTCCACCTGAAAAATCAAAATCGAGTGCAAATTACAGATTCGCATTCGAAATCTAATCTAGTTGGGAAAACATTAACCATCTTTCGAATTGTAGATAAAACATAAAGAAAAATTAGAACTTAGAAAGTTGAAGTAAAAAAATGACATGAAAAAAATGGATTAATATATATTACCTGAAGGCATGGAGGGATCAGAATTTGCAGACGGTGTATCGGTTGGTTCAGTGGACTCGTCCGTAGGTGAACTCAAAGGCGAAGGTCCCGGAGCACTCGTTGGTCCTTCAACAACACCTGTTTTTTAAGACAAAAAAAAGGTAATAATATGATCTTTCCAAAGTAAAGTAAAGACAATGTTTGGTAAATCTATCTCTAAGTTAGTTGATATCTTATAAGTGAATTTGGAGCTTATAGATGATAATTTATGACTTATGGCTGAATAGTTAGCTGATATGACATAACTTTTTGGTAAAAAAAGCTAGAATCAAAATTTTGATGAGCTTATTTGAAAGTTACATAAAGGAGCTTACGAGATAAGATCTAACTTTTTATAAAAGCTCCACCTATCTAACGAAACTTATTTAAATACAAGAAACTTATAAGCTAACCAAATAAGCTATAAGCTAGCTTATGCTGCTAACCAAACACATTCAAAGTAACATTATTTGTTCGATAAAGTATAAAATGTACCATTGCATCGACTGAGCGGAGGAGTTTGCACGTTGCAAACAGCAGGTAATGCCATGGCCAGCGTTTGATTGATAGAAAAACCAAAAGACGAGCCGCCGCCATTGACCAACGGGCACAAGCACTGTGGCTGCGTGTCGACCACATTAGAAAGTGACGAGCAACACGAAGGTGTCGGGCTAGTCGTATTTCCCGTTACATAATTCATGCACGAGTAAAGGCTGAAAAGCGTGCTAGCGCAGCTCGATTGGGCGAATGCACCTCTACAAAGCACGAGTGCAACTGTGCAAGGATAACGATAAAACCGATTTCGAATTTTTTAGGAGCCATAATTTGATGAAAAGTTTTGATTGCGGCTCTTTGATTTGTGCTTAATTGATGTTTGAGGGGAGAAGAAATTGATTTTATTTATTTATTTTTTTTTAAGTTGGTTAATTAATGAGTGCAGTGTGGGTTTATAAGGGGACTTCATGATAGGATGAGACAATGTAGTTGGTATTTTGGTTGGCCTAATTTGTTTAAACTAAGTACTTTGTTAACTACCCAATTTAGAAGTATAAGTAAGTTATAAGAAGATTGTGATTGGTATATATGAATATTGTTAGAAGTTGATTGGAATAAGAGAGAACTCAAAAAAAAATTAAATTATTAAGTTAAATCAGAATGTAGGGAAGGAAAGTATAACAAATCTAAGCCTAAATACGTGACATTTGTTCGTCTATCCTTATATATAAATGCAGAGTTTTTCCGAATTTAATTGATTATTATTGATGGTTCGTAACGATCATGTTTTCTAGTAGTCTATATATAGATCTTAGCAGCTGCTATTAGACTATCAGTTCCTAGATTATTTATGAATGTAATTAGGAATATTGGATTTCTTTATATAAGCAAGTTATTTGGCTTTTTTTTTTTTTTTTTTTTTTTTTTTTTTTTTTTTTTTTTTTTTTTTTTTTGAAAGATAGTATATTTACGTTTTAATTTTTTTGTTCTGTTAATAAGTTTTTGTTATTGTATCTGGCTGGTGAACTATTTAGGTATACCTAGAAAACCCATAAGATGTGGTATATAATAGTAAACTAGCTAGTTTCAATATATATTTTGTAATAACAATCAATTTTAGCTTATTTTTAAGTTTGTTAGTTCAACAATTGGTGAGAGGACTTGCAATATTGTTTTGCAGGTTATTATATAAACTCTTCATGTAGCCTCTGTTGGGCTCAGATGCGCAAATGCGGAAGATGTAAATTAAAATATCAAAGTAAAATGGTGAATATTAATCCCAATCCCAACAACTCAAGAATGACAAAAGAAATCTCTTGTAATAAAACCGGAATAATTCTTTTCTGATATGGAAGTTCAGATTAAACTGCGACCACAGAGCATACTAAGAATATCCTAAATAAATAAAATATGTAAGAAATAAGACACCAAGATTTAACGTGGAAAAAACCTCCAAATAGAGGAAAAAACCACGGGACAACCTCCGAACAATTCCACTATATTTTCAAGATAATTACAATATCTTTTCACACTTCCCTATATTAGAAATGTAAAATATAGTGACCCAGTAAGACCCCACTCCTAAACAAGAAGTAATAGAGTTGATACCCAACCCGGTGTATTTTTCCCACACTCACAGGATTTACTCAAACACTCTATTTTTATCTCACTGAAAAATAACACTCACAAGAAATATTGTTCTTGTTCTCTCGCTCTCACTTTTTCTTCTCTTCCTTGGTGCAATTTTCAGCTCTGCAAATGCTGCTATTTATAGCAGAAAAAGATGCTGAAATTTATCATAATTGATTACCTACCATTATTAAAAATATTTAATCAAGAGAAGTGGTTGGAATCTATAACCACTTTTGTTTGTCTCTTTCTTCAGCAAATGGTTTGGCTTGGCTGGACTTACAATTCTCTCCCTCCAGCCAAAGGGTAATATTCTGCAAATCTCACATGCATTCCATGCCGATCAACTCGGCACAAAGCTGAAGCTTTCCCCCTGTAACAACTTTCGTCATCATGTCAGCAGGGTTTTCATCAGTGTGAATCTTTTGCAACTTGAACTGTTGTTCTTCCACTACTTGACGTAACCAATGATATCTGACATCAATGTGCTTCGTGCGAGAGTGGTACATCGCATTCTTACTCAAATCCAATGCGCTCTGACTATCGCAATGGATATCGTACCTTTCCTGCTTCATTCCCAATTGTTGAAGAAACCTCTTCAACCAAAGCATTTCTTTTCCTGCTTCTGTCATTGCAATATACTCTGCTTCAGTAGTCGACAAGGCAACAGATTTCTGCAATTTAGATTGCCAAGATACAGCTCCCCCTGCAAATGTAAACACAAACCCTGAAGTAGATTTTCTACTATCTAGGTCACCTGCCATATCCGCATCTGTATAACCTTCAAGAACTGGGTTTCCTTTTCCGAAGATCAAGGACTTATTTGCACTGCCATTTAGGTACCTCAAGATCCACTTCACAGCTTCACAATGATCCTTCACAGGATTGGAAAGATACCTGCTAACAATTCCAACTGCGTGAGCGATATCCGGTCTAGTACAAACCATGGCATACATAAAACTCCCGACTGGCGGGAGTATGGAACACCCGCCATAGCTTCTTTTTCTTCTTGACTCTTAGGACAACTTTGTTTGCTGAACTTGAAGTGATTGGCCAATGGTGTATTGACTGGCTTAGCCGATTTTATGTTGAATCTCTCCAGAATCCGATTCACATATCGTTCTTGCGATAACCATAACCTCTTGGATTTTCGGTCTCGCATAATCTGCATGCCCAAAATTTGTTTCGCAGGGCCCAGATCCTTCATCTCAAAGAACTTTGCTAATTCCTTCTTCAAATCACCAATCAGCTTCATATCTTGTCCCACTATCAACATATCATCTACATATAGCAAAAGGATAATGAATCTATCACCTGGAAATTTCTTAACGAACACACAATGATCTGCATCAGTCTTGGTATATCCATGGCTCGCCATGAACGAGTCAAATTTCTTATACCACTGTCTTGGAGCTTGTTTCAGTCCATACAAGCTCTTCTTCAATCTGCAGACCATGTGCTCCTTTCCAATCTTCTCAAATCCTTTTGGTTGCTCCATGTAGATTTCTTCATCTAGGTCTCCATGAAGAAATGCAGTCTTCACATCTAGTTGTTCAAGCTCCAGATCCAAGCTAGCCACCAATCTGAGTACTACTCGAATAGAGCTCATCTTCACAACCGGAGAGAATATCTCATCAAAGTCTATTCCTCGCTTTTGTCCAAATCCTTTCACGACTAAGCGAGCCTTGTACTTCAACAGCTTGTCACCATCTTTCTTAAGCTTGAACACCCATTTATTCTTCAAGGATTTTCTGCCTTCCGGAAGCTTCACAAGCTCATAAGTTTCATTTTTCATCAGTGAATCCATTTCTTCTTGCATGACTTTCATCCACTGAGATTTATCCTTATGAGTTTGTACTTCTTCAAAGCTTTCTGGCTCTCCTTCTTCAGTGATGGTAATATACGTGGAACTAGGGTATCTCGTAGACGGTTGGATCGCTCGATTTGATCTCTTGAGCTGAGGCGGAGCTTCGAGGTCTTCCTGCTCAACACCATCACCATCACCATCACCATCTTCTATTGCTGGCTCATCATCAACCCTAAGTTCTCCATCACACTCTCCCCCTGCTGTGGCATCTCCAGGAGGTTTGACAGGTGAAAGATCCACCTTTCCACTTGGTTCTCTGATTTCTGGTGAAGCAGAATCAGACATAGTTTCTTGCTCATGGAACACTACATCTCTGCTTCTGATAATTTTTCGATTTTCTGGATCCCATAATCTGTAGCCAAATTCCTCATCTCCATAGCCCAGAAATATACAGGGAATGGCTTTATCATCAAGTTTTCTTCTCTGTTCCTTGCTTATGTGAGCAAAAGCTTTGCATCCAAACACCTTCAAATGAGAGTATTTAACATCACGTCCGGACCATACTCTCTCAGGGATATCAAAGCCCAAAGGAACAGATGGAAGTCGGTTGATCAGGTAGCACGCCGTTAGAACAGTGTAACGCCCCAAAGATTTTTAAAGACAATTCCGGACTTATCCAAAAATCTTGTTTTTAAAATTCCGAAACCATTTATCGATTTATAAAAACATTTGGCGCTACTTGAGAATTTTCCAAAGTTAATCACATAATCAGCATAAAGGAAACGAGAATATTCAACATAATTCAAGTTCCAAGACTAGATTTCAACATATCTAGCAATAGGATTGTCAACATAATCCAAACTGATAAAATTATTCCACATGGTTCGACAGTTCAACCAATCCCAAAAAGCAATAGGGATGAATAAACAAGTCTGATAATCTCAACATAAATAACAAAGCATACGGAAGCAAATAAAAGCATTAATAATGTTTGACCATCCACTCGTCTTTAGTCTCGTCATGCCCAACACGTGCTTAACCTGCATCAATGAAGAGCAGGTGGGGATGAGCACAAATATAAACGAGGTGCTCACCACTATGCATAATATATTGGTAAGAAGCCTATACTAGAGTCATATGCAAGTACATGGTCAAAAGACATATCACACCACTCTCCTACTCATCACTATACTCATGTGCACACCTATCAAAAGCCGCCAGGGGTAAGCCCAAACTCGTCAACGGGAGTACAGTCGTGCCGAGGTTCAACATCAACGGTCACGGCCCATCAACTAGGCTAAAATGAGTCTACCTATCACAAGGTTGGAGGTCGCCCACCACTAGGCACCGTCTCATGACTCACACATACATTCATAGAACACAAAGTATAAAAATCTTACCTCAAATATAGCATAGCAAATTTTAGATTAAAACCCACCTGGAAATCGGGGTAGAGTTTCACACAAAAGCAAGCACGTAGATCGAGGGCTCGACTTCTCAAACACCTACATTTAAGCGAGATAATGTATAAATAATCTATCTCACTACTCGAATTTAACACAAAACCCATACTTAATAAAAATTAAGGCTTAAGGGTTTTAATCGGATTTTTCGTGGACTTGGAACTCTCTTATTTTTTGAAAAATATGACTCGGAGGACAAAATTGAAGTTTCGAGACTTAAAATAATTTTTCCAAAATTTTATTATTTTTAAAGATATTTTTAAAATTAAAATCGGTACGAAAAAACGGACTCTGGAACACAAAATTGACTTAAAATGGACTGGGCCGCGCTGAACATAAATCAGCCACAAAAACTGGGCCTAGCCTTCCTAATTTGGGCTCAAATTTAATGCCTAGCCCAACACTACAATGCTGATGGGCGCGGGCTCAAACGCGGGCCACCAGCTGCTGAGAAGGAAATGGGCTGCGCGGGCCAAAATTGGGCCGAACACAGCCCGCGCCCCTTAAAGGAGATGTGGCTGGAAATAATAAAAAAAATGAAAGGAAAACTGCAGCCCTCCAGGTTCGAACACCGAACCTCTAACATAAAGTGAAGCATAGCTACCACTGTGCTACACGCCAGTATGCAACTCTTAGAGAAAACTATTTCTATTAATTGAAAACTAAAGCGTGCAGATAGGCCAACAACAAAAGTCGAACAGAGGCTGCGACAATGAAACAGAAATCTGGAAAAACACAATCGAACTCTATGACAGCAATTCCGATGGTAACTGGCCATCGAGAGATGAGTAAATAATTTTTCAAAGTTCCAAATTTTCATAAAAATGGGTTTTTAAGAATCGAGAAACGAAACAAAATGACATAACCGGCTCCAACCGGACACATATACATAAACGACGACTTGAACAATTTAACGACGGCTCGAAATAGCAAGATAAGACTCCGAATTTATACAAAACAGTCACAGCAACATGAGAGTTCCCAAAAATTCACGAAAATCACACGAAACCCCAAAATCGAACGATACGAACAAAACCGAAATAAATCAAAAAAAATCAACCAACCCAGATCCACGAACACGATAGATTCACGATAATAATCGAGTACGAAACGTAACCAGGAAGCTTGACGATTACCTCACTTCTGGAATCCACGGGTTTGGTTGGAAACGGACGAATTGACGAGACTCAAACGAACGGACGATGGAATTGGGACTCCTCGAAAGCCTCAATGGATAGTTGCTGAACACAGCAGGTTCACAAACAGACAGAGGCTAATCGCTACGACTGGCGGCTGAGACCAAGCGACGAACGACGACGAGCAGGTTACCGGAGATGGTGGGCGTCGGCAGTTGGTTTGCCCGGAGGTCGGCAACGACAGGAACTCGCCGGGGAAGAAGGTCGACTAAATTAATTGCAACAGAAAGGGAGCAGGGAAGAATGGAGAATTTGCGATCTGACGAAGGGGGGGAGGACTTGGCCGAGATATAAGAGATGAGTTTGAGGCGAGTGGGCAAAATTCTCCAGAGAATCGCAACAGATTTTTTTTTTTTTTTTTT